TACTGGAGAACGAAAATGGCATGAAAAGCTTAATGAATGCTAGAGAATTGTGAAGATTTTTGCAAAGGTTAAAAACTGTTATAATGATAGATTTTCGGCTTTTATATGAAAGGACAATGAAGCTCATCCATTAGATGAAAACTTATTTCATCTTAAAAGTCCATTTTTAACCGCATCCAAGGCGTTGAATTCAAACAATTTTCTTATCAACGCCTCTAATTGATACATATATCTCAGGCACAAGACTCAGCGCATTGATCTCAAATTGCTGCAACATGGCCATCATTGCCCATTCAATATGTAATGGCCTTACATGTATTAGAAATTGAAACAATTCAATTGTCTTTTCTTGGTAACATGCAAAAAATCAAATCATTGGCACATAATCAAAAGCATGCTTTATTGTCAATTAGATTAAGAAGCATCGATAGTCCAACCCTACCCTACTTCGGCTCGTCAAACGAATTTCAGTTATTAAATTAAGGAGCTTTGTTAGTTCAGTCCTACCCTCCTTCGGCTCATCAAACAAATTTTAGCTATTAAATTAATTCAATTTAGTCCTATCATGCTTCGAGTCATCAAACGAATTTTAGTTGTTTTTAGCAGTACAGCACCACACAAGGATAGGATGACACACAAGAATCAGGTTCAATTTTGAATTCCAACTATGATATCAATATCTATTCTTAGACTTAGGGGGACTATAGTATTGTAAAAAACCTAACCATGATAGGCAAAATTGATCCAAGGAAATTCCACTTAATATAGAAGTTCACGCACGATATGAATAAACATACATGGACTTGGGAGATTATTATTAAGCTTCGCCACCTGGTACCTTACGTGGCCACCTACTCTAAGGAAATTCTACTCAAGATAGAACCCCTGCATGACATGAATAATCATACATAGACTTGGGGGGACTATTGTTACACTTCGTCACCTGGCATCCTACGTGGCAGCCTTTGTCAAAGCTCCTACCGAAGCAGTGAGGTAGTTCCATGTGAATGGAAATATTAAAGCTCTTTGTTACAATCCCTGTCAAAGTGGTGAGGCTCAAAGTTGACCGAAAGCTCTACCGTGACAAGTGATGACTCTCAGTTCAAGATCCTGAATTTATGAAATCGTGTTGGAATGATTGATTTGACAATTGTAATAAGTAATATGTCAAAGTCTTGTCAACATAGGTTATAGGGTGGCTACTCCCTTTAAAAGCATTAAATGCGCCATAGGCTAGTGAGGTTAAACTGATGCCTAGGATAGGCTACTCCAGTTAAGGAGATAAAGCCCCATGCCCCCTCATTCAATGGATACTATTTCGTATGCAACACTATAATTACCCCCTCCTCCTCCTTGTATCATTTGAAGACCAATGCAACTACATCAATTTAAAGCAACAAGTCTTCCTACCTTAAGTTAAATCTCTTTATATATTGCGAGAGTTGAACATTTGGTTCTTTATCTTTAGTTTGCTATTTGTTAATCAATCCTTATCGTATAATTTCGTTCACATATCTTGTGGGAACCCAAAAATATTTGTCTCGTATTATTAAGCTTCTCCCACGTTCAAATCCGAAATATCGTCGAGTAGTAATCTATCTGCACTTGTTGAAATTAACTTGCATGGATATGAGTGAGCCTAGCATTTATTGTCCACATTAACAAAATAAAAACGAGGTCAACAAAATCTGCAATTTTAGTGAATAATTTCATTATTGGATCTTTAAAATAAATAGTTTCCTTAATGCAGATCCACTTATTATCTAAAATGATATTAAAAATATGTAGTTCATATTAATAGAATAGTCAAATTGACTTTAGAATGTTGAAAATAAAAGGGAAGAAAATTTTGTTCATGAAATATTTCAAAAGTCAAACGAATTTATTGTTACTAAAACCGACTATCACGAAAATTAGATTATTTAAATAATTCTTCTGAACCGAAATAGTTAAAATGATATAAACTTAGATTATTGATACTACAGTAAAACCTTGATAAATGAATGTTCGGTAAGTTAATAATCCCGTTTAAATAATAAAATTACTTTATCTTGATTTGGACTAGTATATGTTAAATTAATAATCCCATTAAATTAATATTATATATATATATATATATAGTAAGCATTGTTTATTCTTAAGCTTTGTTAATAGACTCAATAAAATAATTTCAAGTAAATTATAAATATAAATAGTATTATTGTAATTTCTTTTAATTGTATGTAATAATATTTTTATTAATTGTATACTAATAATTAGTAATAATTGTATTTAGTGGAAATTAATTGACTTTATTTAAAAGATAAATAATTTTAATTTTAATAATAATTGAATTTAGTTGAAATAAATTTAATTTTAAGGGTATTATTAACCATAAACATAAAAATATAAGGGTAAAATAGAAAAGTAAAGACATGAGAATAAATGAGGGAATATTAGACTTAAAGCTAAATATATTGTAGATTACCAATGGTTCACACTGGTAGCAACTGAAATCGATTCTTCATTTCCTTTTCGGGTTGTACGGATCGGTACATTTCTGTAGACAATGTACTCATGGGCGGAGCCCAATGAAACACTTAACTCTTGTGCTCAACCGCCAAGGTTTTTTTTTTTTTTTTTTTTTTTTTTTTCTTTTTCAAACCAA